TCCCCCCCCAATCACTAGCCTACCAGGCTAAACCTCTTCTTTTAAAGTGTCCTCTTGTCCTAACCTACCCCTGAATATGGATCTTTCTTTAGTTTTCCTCTTATCTCCTCTCATCCCCATACTGAGCTCATTTTGTCCATAGACTTGCTTCCTGTTCTCTTGTTCTTAGTCCCACTAATCTGCTGACCACACAATTTCTTCTCAAGGTCAGCATATTTTCTAATAATGTTAACAATTCTCTCTGTTCTCGTATGTCTGGCTCACCTTTAACTGTGCTATCAATGGCTCTCTCCTGAAAAAAAATGATTGACTCTATGGTCCCCCAGACTTAGTGGTCCATCTCCAAACTCGCTTTTCTTTGCAAAGTCCTTGAATGTGTTGTTGCCCTATGCTCAAATCAACTGGATCTCCATGTTAGAATCATGTTTGGCTTTGTTGTAGAAGACAGAGGGTCATTGTGGAGGGATGCTTTTCTGACCGGACGTCTGTGACCAGTGATTTCCACAAGGATCAGTGCTGAGACCTCTGTTGCTTGTAATATATATGAATGATTTGGCTGAAAATGTAGGTGGTTTGATGAGTAACTTTTCAGATGACATCAAAATTGGTGGAGTTGTGGAGTTTTTTGAAGAAATAACAAAGAGGATTGATGAAGTGAGAGCAGTGGACATGATCTGTATGGATTTCAGTAAGGTATTTGACAAGGTTCCGCATGGTAGACTGGTCAGCAAGGTTAGGTAATATGGAATACAGGGAGAAGTAGCCATTTGGATACAGATCTGCTTCGAAGGTAGGTGACAGACGGTGATGGATGAGACAACAAGGTGTAGAGCTGGATGAACACAGCAGGCCAAGCAGCATCAGAGGAGCAGGAAAGCTGACATTTCGAGCCTAGACCCTTCTTCAGAAATGGGGTAGGGGAAGGGGGTTCTGAAATAAATAGGGAGGGAGGGGGAGGCGGATAGAAGATGAACAGAGGAGAAGATAGGTGGAGAGGAGACAGACAGGTCAAAGACGAGAGAGTTGCAGTGGGAGAGAGATCCACTGAGGTTTTTCCGGAGGGAAGAGGGTAACTTCTTCAAGGTAGGCATCCTTAGAAGAAGCTTCGCAGTGGGATTAAAATTGTTTCAGAGATAGTAGGAACTGCAGATGCTGGAGAATCTGAGATAACAAGGTGTAGAGCTGGATGAACACAGCAGGCCAAGCAGCATCATAGGAGCAGGAAAGCTGACGTTTCGGGCCTAGACCGTTGCTTTTCAGACTGGAGGAGGCCTGTGACCAGAGGAGTACCTCAAGGATCAGTGCTGGGTCTGCTGCTTTTTATCATTTATATAAATGACTTTGATGTGAACGTAGGTGGTATGGTTTGTAAGTTTGCAGATGACACCAAACTTGGTGGTGTAGTGGACAGCGAAGAAGGTTATCTCTGAGCACAACGGGACCTTGATCAGATGGGCCGGCGGGCCGAGGAGTGGCAGATGGAGTTTAATTTAGATAAATGTGAGGTGCTGAATTTTGGAAAGGCAAATCCAGGCAGGAGTTATACACTTAATGGTAAGGTCCTGGGGAATGTTACTGAACAAAGAGACCTTGGAGTGCAGGTTCATATTTCCTTGAAAGTAGAGTCCCAGGTAGCCAGGATAATGAGGGCAGCATTTGGTATGCTTGTCTTTACTGGTCAGTGCATTGAGTATAGGAGTTGGGAGGTCATATTGCGACTGTACAGGACACTGGTAGGGCCACTTTTGGAATATTGTGTTCAGTTCTGGTCTCGCTGCTATCAGCAAGATGTTGTTAAGCGTGAAAGCGTTCAGAGAAGATTTACAAGGATGTTGCTGGAATTGGAGGCTTTGAGCTGTAGGGAGAGGCTGAATAGGCTGGGGCTTCTTTTCCCTGGAGTGTCAGAGGCTGAGTGGTGACCTTATAAAAATTTATAAAATCATGAGGGGCCTGGATAGGGTGAATAGCCAAGGTCTTTTCCTCAGGGTAGCAGAGTCCAAAACTAGAGGGCATAGGTTTAAGGCGACAGGGCAAAGATTTAAAGGGGACCTAAGGGGCAACTTTTCCACACAGACGGTGGTGCAGGTATGGAATAAGCTGCCAGAAGAAGTGGTGAAGGCTGGTATAATTATAACATTTTATAGAAATCTGGATGGATATACGAAAAGGAAGGGTTTAGAGAAATGTGGGCCAAATGCTGGCAAATGGGACTGGATTAATTTAGAATATCTGGTTGGCATGGACGAGTTAGACCGAAGGGTCTGTTTCCATGCTGTACAGATCTATGACTCCATGACTCTAGTGAGGAAGGTCATCAAAGGATACAGTAGGATATAGATTAGTTTGAAAGTTGGGCAGAGAAATGCCAAATGGAGTATAATCCGGACAAGTGTGAGTTCAAATGCAGGAGGAATGTATGCAGTAAATGGCAGGTCTCTTAGGAGAGCATTGATATACAGAGGGATCTTGAGGTGTCTCTGAAAGTGGCAACACAAGGTGGTAAAGAAGCCATACAGCATGCTTGCCTTCATCAGTTGAGGCATTGAGGGTAAAAGTTGGCAAGTCACATTGTAGCTGTGTAAAACTTTAGTTTGGCCATGTTTGGAGTATTGTGTGCAGTTCTCGTCACCACATTATGTGAAGAATGTGGAGGCTTTCGAGCGGATGCAAAAGAGGTTTACCAGGATGTTGCCTGTGTTGGAGTGTATTAGTTAGAGGGTGAGGTTGGACAAACTTGGATTGTTTTCGTCAAAGTGTCAGAGGCTGAGGGGCTTTGTTGCTTTTTTGTTTCAACCCTTTTGCAGAAGAATAAGAACACAGAACAGTACAGCCCAGGAACAGGGCCCTTCAGCCCATGGTGTTGTGCCAAACATGATGTCAAGTTAAACTATTCCCTTCTGCCTGGCCATGGTCCCTATGTCTTCATTCCTTGCATATTCATGTGCTTATCTAAAGGACCCTTAAACGCCCCCATCATATCTGCCTCTACCACTACCCCTGGCAGCACATTTCAGACTGCTATGACTCTCTGTGTAAAAAACTTCATGTCTCCTTTGAACTTTCTCCCTCTCACCTTAAATGCATACTCTCTCGTATTACACATTTCAATTCTGGGAAAAAATTTCTAACTGTCAACCCTATCTATCCCTCTCATAATTTTAAAAACTTCTATCAGGTCTCCCCTCAGCCTCCGCTGCTCCAGAGAAAAGAACCCTAGTTTATTCAGCCTCTCCTTATAGTTCATACCCTCTAATCCAGGCAGCATCCCTGTAAACCTCAATATCCTTCCTGTACTGTGGTGACCAGAATTGAATGCAATCCTCTAAGTGCAGCCTAACCAAGCTTTTATGAAGCTGCAATATCACTTCCTCACTCTTGTACTCAATGCTCCTACCAATAAACTCAAGCAAGCCATATGTTTTCTTTACCCCCTATCTACTTGTGTGGCCACTTTCAGCAAGCTATGGACTAGGATCCCAAGATTTCTCTATGCATCAATGCTGTTAAGGGTCTTGCCATTAACTGTGTGCTTTTCCTTATCATTTGACCTCCCAAAGTGCAACACCTCACACTTGCCTGGATTAAACTTGCCATTTCTCTGCCCATATCTGCAACTGATCTATATCCCGCTGTATCCCTTAATAGCCTTCTTCACTATCCACAACTCCCCCAATCTTTGTATTGTCTGCAAGTTTTATAACCCACCTATCTACATTTTCATCCAAGTCATTAATATAAATCACAAACAACAGAGGCCCCATTACAGATCCCTGCGAAACACCACTGGTCATGAACCTCCAGCCAGAAAAATACCCTTCCACCACTGCTCTCTGTTTTCTATGGGCAAGCCAATTCTGAATCCAAATGGCCAAAACACTGTGGATCCCATGCATCTGAATCCTTCTCAATGAGCCTACTATGTTGAAAGCCTTACTAAAATCCATGTAGACTGCTCCACCCTCACCTTCATCACCTCCTCAAAAAAAATCAATCAAGTTAGCAAGACATGGCTTTCCCCACACAAAGCCATGCTGACTGTCCCTAATTAGGCCATGCTTTTCCAAATGTGCATAAATTGTATCCCTAAGAATCCTCTCCAATAGCTTCTTAATCACCAATGTGAGACTCACCGCTCTATAATTTCCTGGATTATCCCTATTTCCCTTCTTAAACAGAGGAACAAAATTAGCTACTCGCCGGTCCTCTGGGACCCCTCCACTGGCCAGCAACGATACAAAGATCTTGGTCATGTCCCCAGCAATCTCCTCTCTTGCCTCTCTCAAAAACCTGTGGTAGATCCCATTAGGCCCTGGGGACTTATCCACCTCAAGCCATTCAACAGACCTAACACCACTTCCGTCTTAATCTCAAAATGCCATAGCAAATTAGCACACCCCACACTAATCCCACTATCTTCCATGTCCTTCTCCTTGGTGAATGCCAATGCAAAATATTCATTTAGGATCTTTCCCATATCCTCTGTCTCCAAGTAGAAGTTCCCTCCTTTATCCTTGAGTGGTCCTATCTTCTCCCTAGTTATCCTCTTGCTTTAGAAAGCAATTTGCATCTCAGTTTACAGTGATTGAATGGTAATTTTCTGTGATTTATGTGCAAGAAAATCCAAATCTCTCGCAGTCAAAATATTTACTAGTTTCTCACTTTAGAAATTCTTCCTACCAAGATAAATAATTTCACTCTTCCCCACATTCTACTCCAACTGCTACCTTTATGCTAAAGTGAGTAACCTATTCACAACTCTTCGTAACATTGCCGACAAGAGATTGATGAAAGATATGAATGTTTACTATCTATGTGTCATTTGCATTCTGAATGTAAGTTATGTTTCAGAAGGACTTTATCCAACAAATCAAGTGTGCTTCCTTGCTTCCAGGCAACTCTAGTAGCTCATAGGGAACATCACAGGTTCCAGTCTGTTGTCCACCAGATTGCCATAATTGAATAATTTGACAATAACCTCAGTAAATTTAAGGTTATACTACCTAGCTCAGCATCTGTTTGAAATGGTATATGTTTATGTAAAATTCGTCGTTGTCGCACATAGTCCTTCCACTTGTCTTCTGCATTTTCGTCATTCCCTGGCATGGTCACAATTGTGGACTTTGATTGTACTTCCTGTGGAGAAATATTCAAAATGTATTGAATATTTTCATAGTGCAAATCATATGGATTCTTCTGCTGGTACAGACATAAGATAAGATAGCATGCAGTCGTCAAATATATTTTTGAGGTTTCAGCGGAAAACATCAGAGTACAACATATCATTTCTCCTACAGTGTTGCTTTTTTCCACCAGTATTCTCTTCTCCAATCCTCAGAACACTAAATTATTTTTAGTATCTCAGCCAAGTGTCTGCTGTTGTTGGGATAACACGAACACACTCTCTCATTCTCACACATGTACACAGACTCTGATACACCAACTGTGATACACACACACACACACACAGACTTGTTCACACATAAACACAGACTTACACACATACACAGGCTCTGATACATACCCATAGACTCACAAACACAGTTGCACACATATACAAACTCACACATTGACACATTACTTCATACACACATATTCTCACACACACTCTCAGAAACACATTCACACTTACATTCTCATCCTTATGTGCAGGTGCGCACTCATACACACACACACACACACACACACACACACACACACGCACACACACACACACTCACTCTCTCCAGATATATTCTCACAGACATACACACACTCACATACACATTCATACTGACAAACACATTCACACTTTCAAACACATTCGCACACACACTCTCAGGTGCACCCTCTTACAAAGATATGAATACACACACACGTTCACACAATACACACAAACATACATATTCTAACACACTGTCTCATACACACGTGCACACATTCTCGCTCTCTCTCACACTCATCATTTGTTTACAACATAAGTTACTGGCTCATATTCAAGATTGGAGAGCTTAGTTTTGTCTATTCTTCTATTAGCTAGTGATGGGAATTCCTTACACCGCTTCAACCGTTAGCTCTGGAATTCCCTTTCTAAAACTCGCTGGCTTTCTTCTTTACTTTTCTTCTTTAAGATGTCCCTTAAAACCTACCCCTTTGGCCAACCATTTTATTATCTGCCCTAATGATGTCTCCTGTTGCTTGGTACCACATATTGATAATGTTAATGCTAAGTATCTTTGAGATACTTTGCTACTTTAAAGTCACAATATAGATTGCCTTTTTTAAAATTCCAGTTGTTGGATGAGTGCAGCTGCAATAGCCCTCAAGAAGCTCAACACCACCCAGAGCTGAACAGATTGCTTAATCACTCCCAATACCACTGTATTTAATATTCAGTCTTTATGACACTCTGACTGTAGTGTTTACAATCTTTTGAAGCAACTCATCAAAGTTATGTCCACAGAACTTCCTTCTCCTGTGACCTCTACTAAGAAGGACAAATGCAGCAACATTTAGGGAATACCTTTATCTCAAGTTTTCCTGCATATCACAGGCTATCCTAATTTCATCCTGCTCTAAGTGTTCCTTCACCGTCACAAGATTAGCACCCTGAAATTCTTTAACATCACCATGACTCCTCAGAGTTTCAGACAATGTGTTTGCAGATCAGAAGATGAAGAGCAGAGGTAATTCTGTTCCCCACAGCTTTTCATGGGATCCGTGCTTACCATGTAACTGTTCCATAAGTACTGTAATAGCTAAAGTATATTGCCTCTACTCAACTGATATCAAGCTGTTTCCTGTTTTCAGTCTCTTGGTAGAAGTAGAAATGGTACCACCTTTCCAAACTCACATTGGAAAATTAAATCAGAAAATCTGCAACTTAGTCATCATTTTGCGCTGAAACTCTACTGTTTAGTAATAAATGGTTTACTGCATTTAAGGCAAACAGGTTAATAGCTTTTTTAAAATTACACACAAATAAATATATGAGCAGCTTACCCTGCTGACTTATAATGGCATACAGTGTGGTTTCAATTAATTTGTGAAGGTTTTCATTTCTGGCAGCATATCTGAGTTATAATTAGCAACAGATAGAAAGCCACTTCAATCGAAATGTTACTTAGACCGCAAGATAATTGGAAAGTCATTGACACCAAATGCAAAACGCATGAAATTTGTGAATGAAGCTTGTGTTTTACCACATTTGCATTAAATATTGGAATTAATTTTCCATGGTGCATGCCAATTTTCACGGGAGTAGTATGACCTACTTTGCAATCATTTCATATTTATCAACAATAGTCATAATTAAAAAGGCAAAAGCTATTACATTTAACAATAATGTTAGAACACAAACATATTTATGACGCCTACTCAATCCATTGGGTGATTAGATCTGCCCTAATTGTACTCGTCCGATCCTGTGTTACCTGCATTATTGTTAACATATGAGGCCCATCTGGCTGCTGATTTCAAGCCTCTTGAGGTGTGCTGTGGAAAATGCACTAGAAGTTTCCAGGAAGTGTTAAGGTTCACTGTACACAGACATGGTGGGGGAAAAGGCACAAAGTCATGAGTACTATACTGCGAAGGAAGATGGATGTGCCATTTAGCATAGCCCCAGGATATTGCTGCAGCAGTTCCAAATTGTAAGTGTTTTCTTCCACCAAGGAGGATAAACCACTTTGCAGTTAATTTGGATGGCCTTTGCGTCACGTTTGTGGGTAAATATCGGCCTCAAAATGGGATGGGTAGGTTTTTTTGGCTATGAGGCAGCCAGCTTCATTTTGATATGAGCCTATTACCAAAGTCCAAAGCTCCTGTCTGATCTAGGTATTAGGCAGAGATAGTAGGAACTGCCGATGCTGGAGTCTGAGACAACAAAGTGTGAAGCTGGAGGAACACAGCAGGCCAGGCAGCATCAGAGGAGCAGGGAAGCTTACGTTTCTTCAGAAGTGGGAGAGGGGAAGGGGGCTCTGAAATAAGTAGAGAGGGAGGGCGGTGATAGCAGGTAGATAGTGGAGCGGATAGGTGGGAGAGAAGACAGACAGGTCTAGGAGGCGAGGATGAAGCTAGTAAAGGTGTGTGTAGGTAGGAAGTGAGGATGGGGATTGGTCAGTGAGGAGGGAGGGGCGGATAGGTGGGGGTCAAGGAGGCGGGAATGGGGGGTGGGGTGCTGGTCTTGGGATGAGGTCGGGGGTGGGGAGATTTTGAAGCTAGTAAAGTCCACATTGAGACCATTGGGTTGTAGGCTTCCAAGGCGGAATATGAGGTGCTGTTCGTCCAGTTTCCGGGTGGCATCGTTGTGACACTGGAGGAGGCCCAGGATGGACATGTCATCCAGGGAGTGGGAGGGGGAGTTGAAGTGGTTCGCGACTGGGAGGTGTTGTCGGTATTAGGCTCCTTGTTAATTAGGAAATCAGTATCCCATAAGTTACATGATTGTTATTTCTGGTTGGAACTTTGCAGAGCTTGTACATTTCCATGGAGGATGGAAGCAAAGAGGCTTATCAAAGGTAATGACTGAATTATGAAAATAATCTTGTCATGGTCATTTAATCATCCCCTGCAATTTACCTGGTGGATAGTCACTCCAAATTGTATTGTTTGATGCATCATAGTTTACCTGTCAAATTTACGTGTAATTGGGACTCAAAAATATGAGATCCTCTTCATAATATAAAACAATAGAACATGAAATTTGGTGGACGTGTTGTATAATGTAATATGCAAATAATGATGCGACTCACACATTGATGAGAAAGATTAAAAGAAGACATCAAACTAGAAGAAGCATGTAAAGAGAGAGGTCTTAGACCTTACACTAGAGAGTTGTATTTGCAATCTGTCATCTAGAGGTATAAATTGAAAAAAAATTGTGGGACATCAGGAATATAAGAGCTTTGCTCAAGAACACAGAGACAAAATCTAATTATCAGTGTGTGTACAGATACTAACAGCCCAGAGATACTGAGGAGAAGTAGAAGCGCTAGCCTAAATCACAGAATAAAGTGCGGTGACAGCTAAAGTGAACTCCAGAGACAGGATTTAAATTTGCATCAGAGCCCACAGGGCCCAACTGAGAAAGGACAGACCCTGAAGGCACAGAATACTTTAAAGGTGTAGCTGGAAAAAGCAGGAAGACTCTGAAGGCAGAACAGATCATTAGAAGACTTTGAATTAAAAAACTGGAAAAACAGAAGGCTGATGACCAGGAAGAACCTTGGAAGACTTTGAACATAGGGCAACAGAGCAGAAACACTTCAAAAGGTTTGAAAAGAAACTGAGAAGATTTTGAAGCCAACTAAATCAATAATGCTCTGGAGAGTAAAATACAGAAAGAGAACACTTTGACAAAGAGGACGGAGAGTCCTGGTACTTACCCAAGTCAGTACAGCACAATTATCCATTGGGATGGTGGCTCCAGCGAAGACTTTGCCATCATCTCAGGCATTCAAATCTTCTTATGGCTCATAATGAGGCACAAGTGGGAGCTCTTAAAGCAGCAGTTTTAGCACCACAGAACTACTTAGGCTTGCAGGTGAAACAGCAGCAATACTAAGTCAGCACATTTTTATATGCTGTAGGCCTCATAGCTGACGTTCTGGTAGACAAAATAAGGCAAAAACACTATTACAGGACATGATGAACTAATTATAGTATTTGATGGATACTTTTATCCTAAAGTAATTTAGTTATAGAAAAGGTGAGATTTAACTAGTGATCTCAGTGACTGGCAGAATCTGTTGAATATTTTAACCAGATTTATAATACCTTGCAGGATATTACAGGCAATATTCCCCTAAACTGCCCAGTTGCTCCAATGTTCCATCAGCACACCAATCTTGGCTTTAACATTCCATTCCAGAAATCGCTGTTGTGTATGGCACTCGGAGGGCCATGCAGCCAGTAAGAAAATTAGAAGGAAAGCCAGTTATAGATACTAGGGGTTTGGGTAGCTCACTTGACTGGAGGACTGTTTGCAATATAGAGTGATGCCAACAGCACTGGTGCCAGCTGAGGTTACCAGGAATGTTCAACCTTCTCAACCTCACCTCTTGCCTGTGATTCTCAAATTAAACCATCAATGAATGAGAGCAGTCCTCTGTGTCTATGGTGACTTTACCTTTACCTTTAAATGATGAATTAATTTGAGACTGTATCATAGTTAGTGTGAAGGATGAAAAGTTCTCAGGCTTCCTTCAATCCAAGAAAGACCTTACATTGCAACAGACAATCCAATTCATATGCAGGCAGAAATCAGGCCCCAAAATTCATCAGTTCTGCAAGGAAATATTGCAAATCCTTCTTATATTTGGGTAGGCCTCAAGATGGTATACTAACCATCCAGCCAAGACACTAAAAGAGTGGGAATTCAACAAATATTAAAACAAAGAACTGCAGATGCTGGAGTTCTGAAAGAAAAATAGAAAATGCTGGTGAAACTCAACAGGTCCAGCACCATCTTCGGGAAAAAGCAGAATTTAATGTTTTGAGTGTGATGACTCTTCATCAGAACAGCAGATGGTTTGTACAGATTTGAGTCAAACAAACCCACAAGAACAATGAAGCCTAACAGGAAGAGCTGAGTGCTGTGACTGTGACTCTTTAGGCAACAGCACCTCAAGAAAATGTCTGGCAAAAAGAAATTTCCAGAAAATAGAAATCGTGTGGCAGGACAAAAAAGTTCAAGCAATTAAAAATGAACAATAAAAAGTTATGTGAGGGCCAGTATTCTCTGGTTGTGTAGCATGAGGAGCCTAATGAAAGGCACTGCTCTATCCATGCGGCTACGCCCTGCCAAATTATGGGCTTTCTTCTCTTGCAATGAGAGAAGGAGACTGATTGAGATGAAGTGGATGGCACAGCTTTTCCTGTTGGTGTAGGTCAGTGAAAGGCGGTGAAGAGTTCTGAGGAAGTAAGAAGGCAGCGCTGATGGCATTCAGTGGTGTGGTGGTGGTGGGGGTGGGGGGCAGGGTGAGAGCAGGTGAGGGAAGATGTTACAGGTTCTAATGTAAGTGGCAGAGCATAATCTTCAGTGAGAAGTGGGTACAGTGGAGAATGTCTTTCTTATGGCTTTGCTGGCCTTTCTGCCAGGCCATAGATACAGTACTGATCCAGGTGCCAAACTTGGACCAGGATGCCAGGATCTGGCCTTTTGGGAAAAAAGGACTTCCCTTTCTTCCTCAACCCCCTCAAACCAGACCTTCCAGGTGCCTGTCAGAAAATCGTAGTGCTATCTTCCCCAACTTGGACTTAGTCTTAGGTTCCAGGCAAGGCACAAATAACAACTGATACACTCTCAAGGGAAGCAGTGGATAAAGCAGAATAGAAAAATTTAATTCTTGTAACAGAAGTGGAGTCTAATGTAAAGTAATAAACAACACAACAAATAAATTGAATAATTTATTGTCACGTGTATTCAATGTAAAAATACAGTGAAAAGTGTGTACCTTTGCTGCACATACATGGTGCCATTCACATTAACTTAGAATAAGATAAGAATAAAAACATTTAAGACAGCTCCAACTTTCCTTTTCACTGCCGCAGCCCCACTCAGGGATTTCCAGCCCTTGCCATGCCCCCACCAGAGTCCTGCTCCAGGCTTTCCATGCTGTGCCGCTGCCAGCATCCCACTCTTGGCTGCCTCCCCTGCCCGCTCTCACTGTCACTGCCTCACTGGCCCGCTCTCACTGTCACTGCCTCCCCTGCCCGCTCGCACTGCCACTGCCTCCCCTGCCCGCTCTCGCTGCCACTGCCTCCCCTGCCCGCTCTCGCTGGCCCACTCTTGATCCGCTGCTGTCGCTCCAGCCCATGCTCAATCTGTCGTCGCTGCAGGACACAACCCGTGCATTCAGCTTCCACCATGTGGTTCCAGGTTGCAACCCTTCCCGACTCATTAGGTAGGTAGTTAAAAGGGGGTGAGGGGGATAGAATTACTACAGAGGTAGAGAGAAGAAGGGAGAAAAAAAGGAAGGACAAAGAAAGAATGAGAATGAGAATTGGCAAGCAGAGTGGATTTCCGAAAAACAGTCATAAACTCTGGCAAGGAGACAAGAAGTCAGTAGCAATAGTCACTACAGAAATGTGTGTATGTGTAGCTGTCCAGCGATACTATGCTTGCAGCAGCATTAGCCTAGATTGTATGACAGAGCATTCTTCACCACCAGAAAAGATAACCAATATGTGTATGTTCCCAATCAACCAAAAGTCAAATTCAATCCTTTTGTTTAAAAGGTTTCTGATATTTTCCTATATTTCCTTACAATGGTTTGACTTTGTGCCACATTTCTTCCAATCTATTTTTTTCAACATGAGAAGATATATTCATAAGACCATAAGACGTTTGAGCAGAAGAAGGCCGTTCAGCCCATCATGTCTGCTTTGCCATTCAAAGTGATCATGGCTGATCTGATAATCTTCAGCTCTGCTTTCTTACCTGTTCCATGTATGATGACTCCAAAACTAAGAGACAAAAATATTAGACACCAATAAATTTAATGAGGAATTTGAGAAGAAACGTCTTTATTCGAAGGGTAATGACATTGTGAAATTTGTCATCACACAGAATAGTTGAGCCAAATAGCATAGGGAAAAGTAAGCCTAGATATGTACATGAAAGTAAGGGGAATCATGATGGATTGATAGGGTTAGATCCAACAAAGTTGAAGGAAACTTAAAGAATGGCATTGAATGGTCTGTTTCTGTGCTACAAAGTTTGACTGACTCAATTAAACTTGATTAAAAATCTGTTATGCCTATGTTTGAATGTACCCCATACACAGTTCATTAATTTATGAAGGGTTTTTCTAAATGCCAAATATTGTCACATTTACACTGGTTTTAATTATTCTTTGGTTGCATTCATGTACTAATCTCCATGATATATGGGGAGCAATCAATAATTTTGGAAATGTTCCTCAAGTTGCTTTATTAATGTGTTAGTTCTCTGCCAATTTTTCTCATGAAGTGAGGAAATTCAGTAATAGAATCATGCTCAATCTCACGCACCCTCTGCTGTTAAACTCATGAAAGCAGTCAATCAAACCAGACATACTCTTGAACTGAGATGGACTTGTGGTTTGGAAAGGCCAAGATGCAAAGGAGAATATCCTTTTCAATATTACATATTTGCAATACAGATGGATATAATCTTCAAATGAGGCTAACGGCATTGATGTATGTGAATGATCAATGTGTAGGAATGAGTAGGTTAAACTATCAAGATGATCTTGCCCTACACTCATTCCTGGAACATTTGGATAATAAGGATACTGACGTCAGGCTTCTAATTATAGACTACAGCTCTGCCTTCAATTCTATAATCCCAACCAAATCAATCTCCAAACTCCGAGACCTAGGCATCTGTTCTGCCCTCTGCAACTGGATCCTTGGCTTCCTGACCCACAGACCACAATCAGTGAAGATAGACAACAGCATCACATCCTGCAAAGATGCATACTCAGCCCCCAACTGTATTCCCTGTATATTCATGACTATGTAGCCAAATTTCATCCAAACTCCATCTACAAGTTTGCTGATGATGCCACTGTTGTAGGCCGGATATCGAACAATGTCTCCCTCTATGTCAGCAAAAGTAAAAGAGCTGATCATCAACTTCAGGAAGGAAGGAGGAGGCCTATCTACATTAATGAGCTGAGGTGGAGATGGGCAAAAGTGTCAAGTTCCTAGGAGTGACAATCACCAACAATCTGTCCTGGACTACCCACTTTGATGTGATGGTCAAGAAGGCACAACAATGTCTCTTCTTCCTCAGGAGGCTAAGGAAATTCGGCATGTCCATAAGGATCTTCACCAACTTTTACAGATGCACCATAGAAAGCATCATGCTTGGTAAGGCAACTGCTCTGCCCAGGACCATAATAAATTACGGAAAGTTGTGAACACAGCCCAGACCATCATGCAAGCCAATCTTCCATCCATTGACTCCGTCTACACTTCTCATTGCCATGGAAAGGCAGCCAACATCATAAAGACCTTCCCACACCAGTTACAATCTCTTCCATCAGACCGAAGACACAAAAGCTTAAACACATGCACCAACAGGTTCAAGAACAGCTTCTTCCCCATGGTTATTAGACTTCTGAATGGACCTCTCAAAATTAAAATCTAATGTTGATCTTGATTTTTGTGCACCTTCTCTGCAGCCGCAACTTTGTATTCCTCGCTCTGTTCAATCACCCTATTATCTTTGTATGTTATGATCTGCCTGTACTGCACACAAAACAAAATTTTTCACTGTACTGAAGACAATAATAAATCAAATCAAATCAAATTTTAAGTTTAAGTTAAATATAGTTTGAAATGAGGAACATAGCACCCTTTTCACAGTGCTTGTGACAGCAATTGCTATCTGTTCATTGTCTGTTCAGTGGAAGTGGTAGGTTAGATTTAAACTCTCTGAAATGACTGATCCCAATGGTCTAATAGCTTAGTGTTGCTTTCTGCCTGTTTTTTTTCCTTTTAAGACTCTCCTTAAAACCCACAAAGTCCTTGAACACATGCCAAATATTTTGCTTTTTTGTTCACCATGCATTTCATTCCTTTATCGGTATGTGAAACACCATGTGATTTAATCTACAGTCATGGAGCTATAGAAGTAAAAGTTGTGGCCAGAAGTAAAGTTTAAAATTACTTGCGTTAATCCTGTAATGGCCATGCTCACCAGTCAGAAAGAAATAGCCATCAATGATTTCTTAAAACTCCAATATTATTTTTTTCAAAGATTTAAAGGGCAGGCTTGACAGTTCCCTGGGACTTCAAAGTGGTGCCAAGACACTCATCAGGAAGGCAATATCGATTGCAAGATGGAGAGTGGAGAATCACAGGGAGGTAGCAGCCCGGGTTTTTTTTAATGAACCAACAGAGAAAAATTTAGTTTCAAAATGATCCGTAGAACTGTCAAAGCATTCAAAGGTGTCCTTTAAATCTTCAAATAAATATCAAAAATGTTTTTAACAAAGAAAAACATTGCTGGCATTTCACTCTGTCTATTTGCATATACTTGAGAGCCACTGTTACAGGATTGGTGCTGCATTACTAATTTCACAAACTTCCATTTTCACAATAGAGTGCCTGCCACTTGACAATTTGACCTTATTTTGATTCATTAATGGAATGTGCAAGATATTCCCAAGATAGGAATGTGCATGGCTTGGAGGGTAATCTCTGCAGATGTTTGTGTTTCCATGTATCTGCTACCCTTTATCCTTCTAGAAGGTAGTAGTCATGGGATTATAAGATGCTTCTAAGGAGCATTGGTGAATTTCTACAGTTCATTCTGGTACGTGCTACTTCTACTCATTATCCATAATGTGGAGGTGCCGGTGTTGGACTGGAAGGGACAAAGTCAGAAATCACATGACACCAGGTGATAGTCCAACAGGTTTATTTGAAATCACAAGCTTTCGGAGTGCTGCTCCTTCACCGGGTGAAGGTCAAACTTCGCCTGATGAAGGAGCCATGCTCCAAAAGCTTGTGATCTCAAATAAACCTGTTGGACTATAACCTGGTGTCATGTGACTTCTGACCACTGAGTATCAGTGGTGGAATGAGTGAATGTTTATGGATATGGTGCCAATCAAGTGGGCTGCCTTCTCCTGGATTTGTGTTATCTCTTGACATTCTTGAATGTTGAACTGCACTCATTCAGGCAAGTGGAGAGTATTCCATCACATTCCTGACTTTTGCCTTATAGATGGTGAACAGGCTCTGGGGAGTCAGGAGGTGAGTTACCTGCCACAGATTCACAACCTCTGAAGTACTTTTGTAATCGCAGCATTTTTTTGGCTAGTCCAGTTCAGTTTTTCAACAATGGTAACACTACCAGATGTCGATAGTGTGGCATTCAGCGATGGTAATGCCAGATTCGATGGAGAGTGCAGGACAGCAGGCATACCTAAAAATGAGGTGCTAACCTGGTGAAGCTACCAAACAGGTCTCTTTGCATGGCAAACAGCATAAACAGCAAGTGATAGACAGAGCTAGGTGATCCCACAACCAACAGATCAGATCTACACTCTGCAGTCGTGAATGATGATGGACAATGAAACAACTGACTGGAGGAGGAGGCTCCACAGATATCCCCATCCTCAATGATGGAAGGGCTCAGCGTATCAGTGCAAAAAATAAGGCTGAAGTATCCGCAGCAAACATCAGCCAAAAGTGCTGAGTGGGTGATTCATCTCGGTCTCCTACAGTCGCCCCAGCATTACAGATACTAGTCTTCAGCCAATTTGATTCACTCCACATGATATTAAGACATGGTTATAGGCATTAGATACAGCAAAGGTACTGAATGTCAAGGGAGAATAGTTAGAATCTCTCTTAATGGAGATGGTCAATGTCTGGCTCTTGTGTGGCATGATGCTGCTTGAAATCTTCAACTGGTTACAGACTCTGAAGTGGATCTATGACTTACAATGCTTTCTTTTATATAAGGGGTGATACACTTGAATAAAATGTTATTCTTGCAATGGATCATGCATTGAACGAATACAAGTGTGGTGAATGAGTTTCGATGAATAAGAACTTTTCAAAATAAAGTCTGCAATTGAAACTTAGAAATGTATATTCCTTCATCTCAGTTTGTCTCCTGAGATCTACCAATGGTGGATATTGAATGAGTTGGTGTGTTTGGGGCAAGAGCAGTGGGCGGTGGGTGTGGCCTGTCTTGACTAGGAACTAAGTTTGCATTAGTGCCATGAAGGGACATGAGGGCGGGCAGAGGAACATAAGTTAGCATGGAGAAGAGGAAAGGGCATGGGTGGGTTCAACTGGAGGACATGAGGTAGGCAAAAGATGGGTGCAAGACGGTAAGGTTTGGATGGCTGATTTTAGTCTTATTT